ACAGGCACACACACAGGCACACACAGGCACGCACACACACAGGCACACACAGGCACGCACACACACAGGCACACACAGGCACGCACACACACAGGCACACACACGCACAGACACACAGACACAGTTTCCTCAACACCGAGGCCTCAGGCGGAGGCGCCCACCAGGGACCTGGTCACTCTAGGGAGGGGCAAGCTGCCCCCCACTGCCGGCCTCTGCAGCCCACGGAGGAAACGGACACCGTCAGGCCCATTACAAGCCTGTGGGTCTGGCCCCAATGCATCTGGATCACATCTGGCCTCACACCTGGCTCATCCCTGGCTCACCCCTGGCCTCACACTGGCCCTTGTCTGAGGCCTGGGGTGGGGCTTGTGGGGGCACTTACGTGGGGTACCCAAACTTGACAGCCAGGTCACCATCGGCCAAGGGGGTCACTGAGACCACGGGCATCTTTATGCTGTCCTTGGACTCCAGGAAGCCTTGGTCATCTGAGGCCACCCCAACCACGTACCAGATGCCCTGGAACTGCAGGACGCGGGCAAGGGAGAGCTGGGTGGCAGCCCCTGCCCCTGGCGCTGGGTCCCCATTCCACCCTGACCTGGCTCCAGGCCAAGAACCACCGGCCTCTGTGGCCCTGTCACCCCCAACCCAGAGCTGGGAGGGGCAGATGCAACTTGTCTCAACTAGAGGCCCTGGGGAGTGGCAGTGGGCACAGCCCAGTGGCCAAGGCCCCGCCACCCTCCCTGCCCCGAGTTCCACAGGGCAGGGAGGTGGGGCTCTTTCCCTGCACCCCAGCCCTGAGCAGGCCTCCAGGTGCAGCGACAGGGGAAACAGCTGGAGAGGTGGTGGGGGAGGAGGAGCAGACGGCCCGGGAGCACCTGGCTGGCATCGAAGTTGGTCTGGACAGGGTCCGGGGCGTGGCCCAGGGTTGCCCAGAGCAGGCTGAGGAGGGTTGTGGTCAGCACAGCCTGCAGCATGGCGGAGCACGGTGGTGTGGTGATAGCACCAGCAGACGGGCAGGAGAGCAGACGAGCAGGAGGGCTAGGGTGGTTGCCCTGCATGCGGCCTTTATGCCCTGAAGGTGCCCTGGGGCACTGGCTGGCTGCCCTGGGATGGAGCCCACTCAGATAAGCCCCCGATCGGGTTGCGCCCTGCAGCACCCTGGCACTGCTGCCATCTACTCAAACCCGCCCACTCCCCAGATTTCCTCCTGGGAGCGGGCTGCATGGTTCTGCCAGCCTCTGGGCCAGGGCCTACCTGACAGCCCCCTGACCCTGCCCTGGGCAGTCCCCCCCTCCAGGATGTGGGCCCCCAGCCTCTCCAGGAAGTTGGTCCCCAGCCCTCCAAGGAGCAAGGGCCCCACCACCCAGACCCCTTTCTCCAGGAAGCTCGCCCAGCTCACCCTCACCTCTGGCCTCACCTTGGTGGCTCCAGCCAAGGTCTGCCCCGGTAGGGCCCAGTGGGCCGACTTCAGTGGCTCTTGTACATTGTAGGCCAGGAGGGCCCAGGACAGGGGCTTGAGGACAGCCTCTGTGGCCAGGAAGCTGGGGGTGGTAGGAGGCCGAGAGAAGGGTGGGGCAGGGAGGGTGACTGCCCAGGGGCACCGTGGCCGAGTCCGTGCCTGGACCCTGGTGAGTGGGCAGAGCTGTGTGTTCTTGAGGTCCAAGGGGGCTGGGGGCATGCAGGGGGGCGGGGGGCATACAGGTGGCAGAGGGGTGTGGGGGTGGCCTGTCCCAGCCCGCACTGTCAGTCTGTCCCACTCTTGTGGGGCACGGACTCTCCAGCCATGTCCTTTATCCCCTGATCTCCACCCAATCTCAGTATGTTAACCCCAGCCTTGGAAAACCCATGGACCCAAAGCTCTCCTGGGCTCTTAACCTCTCTTGGCCAGAGAGGAGACGGGACAGGTGGGGCACCTGCCTAAGGATCAGAGCTCCGAGTGCCGGGCTGGGGTGGGACTGACCGCCACCAGGGTCAGGGGCTGCCCCAAGCACAAATGGCCTAGCTGTAGCTGGCAGCTTAGGAGGTGAGGCTGGAGGGTGGGAGGGTGGGGAGGGTGCGGCGGGGGGGGGACAGCGAGGGGCCCTTCCTTCTTAGTTATCCTGACTGCTGCCTCCGGCAGACACCCTCCTCACCATGAGGAAACACTAGAGGTCTGCCCACCCCCTCGGTGGTGACATCTGGTACAAAGCCAGCCTCCCTCCCTCGGGCTGAGAGCTTAGAGGAGGGGACAGAGGTCCAGGGAGCTGGTGGGGCCCAGGGGCCAAGGCTGCAAGGACAGACAGACGCCAGGCTGGCTGTTTGCTTCAGCATTTATTTCTCAGAGCCAGAATAAAGAACCCAGGAAGCGGCTGTGGGGAGCAGGGCTCTCAGGGGGGTCTTGGAATGGAGCAAGCAGGAAGGAGAGTCTTGAGGGCCGGGGTGACCTGGTCGGAAGAGCAGGACCAGTCTGATGGGGCAGGCAATACTCCGCCCCCTCCCTGCCCCACCGGATGGTGGTCCCCAGCTCCACTTCTGGCTTGGGGCACCCTCGGGCTCCAGGCTCTGCAGGGGAGAGCGTCCCTCCCGATCTGGCCTCCCCTCTCCATCCTCCTCCCCTCCATCTTCCCCACCCCCACCCGGTTCCTGGCAGCTGGACCTCCCACCCAGCCTCCAGCTCCTCCTCCACCAGGAGCCAGAGCAGAAGGTCCTTGTCTGACTGCACCCTTGCCCTCGCCCCCCAACACCCTCCCCCGCCAGGAGCCCCTGGAACTCGGGCTTTATTCCCATGTGGTTCAGGGACAGATTCTCTGACCCCAGGCTGGGTGCTTGTTCTGCACCGGGGGCCCCAGGGGAGCTTTGGGACACCTGGTTCAAGCTCCTTGGGGAGGGGGTAAAACGGAGTGGTTACCCGCGTGCGCGCGTGTGTGTATGTGTGTGCGCGCGTGTGTGTGCGCATGTGTGTGCATGCGTGTGTGTGTGTGTGTGTGTGTGTGTGTGTGTCCCTGGGTGAATGAGTGAACGAAGGACTATGGCTGGGATGAAGCCAGCCCACAGCCAGACCTCACTCACCTATTTGGGCTCCTCCATGCACTTATCTGCCGAGAAAGAAGACAGGTGGCTGAGGTCAGTGCCCCAAGCCTGGGCCAGAATCCCCCATCTGGGCCTGGGCCCCTCCCTAACCTGAGAAGCCCCTCCTCCCAGCTGCCCAGAACTGGTCCTGGCTGAGACCCCAAACTGAATGACCTCCATCACATCCCAATGCGGGTGCCCTCCCACCCCTCCCCCAGCCCCTGCTCCTCAAAATGAAGTGGGGTGACCTTTCTCCACCTCGCCAAGACTGGGCCCACTGACCCAGGGAGGCCAGGCCTGAGCACAGTGCAGGGGTGCCTTGTGTCCCATCAGCACCCTCCAGGACTGACATGGCCTGAGGTCACAACGGAGCACAAGGAGGAGGTCACATTGCTGGCTTTTCCCATCTTAGGGCCTGCCTGCCCCCAGGCTGCGGGCTCCCCGTACCCCAGGGCTGCAGACCACGGGGTGAGGGACACTGATCTCCTCCCATTGCCTCGGGCAGGTCAGCCTTCCGGAGGGCCAGCTGAACCCCGCCCCTCCCCCTCTGCACCTCCATCAGGAGACGGTCTGTCTGCTGGCTTCTAATCTGAACTTAATCCCCCCGCCATGGGATTAGGGGCCCCTCACCAGTTTGGGGCAGGAAGACAATGGTGTCCTCTGTGAAGCCCTGGGCCTTGGCAAAGGCAGCAAATTTCTCCTTAAACTCAGCCCTCGGGCTCTGGGTTCGGCCTAGAGCAGGGGAGGAGCAGGAGCCGACCTCAGGGGGTGGGAGTGCTCTACTCCTGCGCCCCTGCCTTGGGAGCCCCCCTCGGTCCTCTGCCACCCCTGGGCAGGCCCGCTGGGGTCCCGGGGGCACGTACTGTAGAGGGTGGCCATGCGGAAGGCGTGCCCAGGCCCCTTGGAGCCCTGGGTGCACAGGAGAGCATACTGGTCGTAGTCCGTCTCCACCACTGAGACTTCGTGCATACCGCCCCAGTCTGCAACCGCGAGGCGGCCCTGGTTGGGGACCTTGTCCCTCCAAAACCCCAGCCGGCCCTGTGCCGCCTCAACTTTGGGGAAGGGGTGGGCTGGGAGTGGGAGGGATCCCGGGATGCCTGCCCCCAGTCTCCCTCCCCATTGGGCCAGGAACCTAGCACAGCGCTTCCTGCGTGCACTGACCCCTCCCCCACTAGAACGCTGGCATCCATTGTCCCCAAGCCAAGGGCCCTGGGCTGCAGGAAACGTGCAAGCTCAGAAAAGTGAGGGGTTTCTGGCGCAGCCATAAAACTTTTGCCAGGACCAAGGAAGGGGAAAGGTTTCCCAGCTGGGAGGCCATCCTGCTGGGTGTTGATGGGGTGAGAAGGCCCCAGGTAGGTGTAGGGGGAACTGTGTGGAGAGGTGTGTGTGGGGGCCGGTTTGGGGGCTGCATTCCTGTGCCCAGCAGAGGGACAGAGGGGGGTATTCCATCACAGGACAAGATGGGGACTGGCATGAGGTGGGCTCTAAAGAAGATCCAAGCCAGGTGGAGAAAGGGCCGCTCTGTTCCCGCCCACCCGAAGGGGGCTGACCCGCCCACCTGAGGGGGAACCCAACCCCATCCACCTGAGTGTAGGAAGATCCCGCCCACCTGAGTGTGAGCGCAGACCCCGCCCACCTGAGTGTGGGAGCAGACCCCGCCTACCTGAGTGTGACAGACCCCGCCCACCTGAGGGGGGCTGACCCCGCCCAGCCTCTTCCTCGCTGATATCCGGGAGCAGCCATCACCTCGCACCCCCGTACCACCCGGGAGGGGGGCTCTCCCAAAGTCGCCCCGCCAGCAAGTGCCACTCTCAGACAGGACCCTTGGTTGGGGGGGATGGCCGTTGAGGGTCCCACTCACGGGGGTTCTGGTAGCTGTAGCGGCCTGGAGGCCCGGCCGGCTGAAGCACCATGGTCCTGGTCTCACACTGGTTGTTCCTGTGGGTAGGTCACCCTCGGGGTCAGGGGTCAGGCCCGGTGTGGAGAAGGGTCCTCTGGGTCCAGAAGCCCTCCCCCACCGTCCCACCTGACGAAGGTGGAGGTGAGGTTGAGGCCGCCGTCGGCGGTGGGGGCCAACATGGATTTGCACATGGACAGCAACGCTTTCTTCTCCCGGAACCAGGTCGAGTTTGAGGCGAGGCCCGCGCTGAACCAGCGCCCCAAGAACTGCGGCGAACGGCTCTCACTAGGTCGTCCGAGACCCACCTGGGCCAGCGGGGTGGGCACCCACTCCCAACAAGTGTCCCCCTCCCAGTTCCTGGCCCCGCCCCAGGCCCGCCCCGCCCCATACCCTGCCCCCAATGCAAGCCACGGCCGCAGAGGATGGCCACGGCCCCCCGAGGTGGGCTGCGCCCCCAGCCCACATCCCTGAGGCCAGCCACGCCTCCCCGCCTCCCTCCGCCCACAGCCCTCGGGGGAGCCATGCCCCGGCTCATCGATGAAGAAGGCGGCAGGGGGCGCCTGGCCCATTCCTGGAGAGGCTCAGGGCGGGTCTTTGGCTCCCCACCGCTGGGGGCAGGTGGCGAGATGCGCGTGACCCGGCGCGCAGCCAGGCGCTTAAGCGGGAAGACCCGCCCATCTGTGCGTCTCCGCGAAGCTCCTGGCGTGCGCACGCGTCTGCCGGCTGTTTCTGCGGGGTACCCAGCGCATCTGCGTGCGTCTGGGAACCTGCGTGTTTCTCTGAGGGTCTGTCACTCTCCCCGTGTGCCTGCGTCCTGAGCCCACCCCCGGGTGCGGGAGCGCCGTGTGGTTGTCTCTGGGCGTCGTGTGCTCATAGAAATGAAGTGTTTGGATGGTGTCTGCACGTGCACAGGTGTGACCCACGTGCCTGCACACCTGTGTGCTCACATGCAGACAGGTGTTTCCCTGCCCATCAGGGGACGTGGGGCTCTGCTCTCTTGGTTGGTGAAGTGTGGTGGCCCTGGGGAGGGACTCTCACAGTCACCCTGGGGTAGGTGCCCTGTCCTGCGCCCCCTCTAGCCCCACTCAGTGCCCCTTTGCCGGGAGACAGTCAGCCGAGCGAGTGCCCTTCCCCTGCGGGGACTGGACAGTGCAGCCCTCACCTTGTCCTGTTGGAAGTTGGGCTGCACGGAGACCTGGGCCTGGGCTGGGGTCTGCAGGGCCCCCAAGGCCCCCAGCAGGACCAGCCCCATCCACAGTGGGCATTGCGCGGCCATTCTCCTGGAGCCTAAGCAGGTGCTGGGGCCGGGAGCCAGCAGTGTGGGCAGAGCGGGAGCCAGCGGGAGGAGTGGACGGAGGGCACTGGAGAGACCCCTATTTATGGGCCTGGCTTGGCCTCCTCCCAGGGCCCAAGGACAGCCCAGTGGAGGCTCGTGATGCTGGAGGGAGAGGGCTGGGCAGCCTGGACCCAGCTGCAGCCTCATCCCCCACAGGGCAGCTTATGCAACTGGCTCATGGATCTGAGTGGGGGCAGGGCAGGCCAGACAGAGCTGGACCCTGGCAACTCCAGCCCTGCAGTTCTGGCACACCCCCAAGCTGGCCCTCACGGGGGAGGGGCATGTGCCTTGGCACTGCCCTGCCTTTGGGGCCATGGTCACTTCCCATCTGGGGCCAGGACCCCTCCTTTCTCCTCCATCTCACCAGCCCCCCATCACACCTTCCCCAAGCCAGTGGACCTCCGGGAGACAGAGCCCTATTTGTGCCCTAAGAGCTCAGTCCCGAAGGCCCAGCAGGCCGGGTACTAGGGAAAGCTCTACCAAGGTAAAGAAACTAGGCCTGCCACCTGTGTGGGGTGCGCTGGGCACAGCCTCTCCAGCAGCTGGGGGGTTCTGGCCGGTGGCCCCTCCTCAGCCTCGGGCCCAAATTTCCGAGGCTGCAGCAGCACATAGCTGGGTCTCTCCTGTTCCTTGGGGGCTGAGACCTGGACTGCCCACAGCTCCCACATCTCCCCGCAGAAGCAGAGGAAGTGAGGACGCCTGCCCTCCTTTCAGAGAGGTGACCTCCCTCCAGAAGTCCCCCTGGGTTGACCGACTGCTCCAAAGGACCTGGCCCAGTCCGAGTCCAGCACGTGGTGCTGCCCCCTGCCCAGCTGTCCCTGGGCCCCAGCTCAGGCCTGAGTAGGGACAGCTCTGTGGCCAACGGTGAATAGTGCAGGTGTGAGTGTCTGTGGACGGGGGGGGGAAGCCTGGGCTCTTCTTCTGGAGCCCCCCCACCCCCACCCCACACACACTCACACACCTGGCCTCTGATCCTGGAGAGGAGAAGAGCCCTGGGAAGGAGTTCCTGGGTGTGGTGCAGACCAGCTGTGGCTGCGGCTGGTGCAGGGACAGGGCCCCCAGACGCAGGCAGGGCTGGGCGGTGGGTGCAGTCTCCTTCCCAGGGCTTGGAGGCTCCTGCTGGCAGCTGGGTTCCTACAGTGAAAACCCCCCTCTCCTCGTCCCAGGTTTGGATGGTCCCTGAGGCCGTCAGAGGTGATCGTAGGGAGAAGCATGGGCTCAAGGTCAGCAACGTAATGGGCTGAGCATGGGCATGGTGGGGTGGGAGGGTGGGCACTGGGGTGGGGCTGCCCCTGCTGCCCCTAGGCTGGGGTGCTGCTGCCCCAGTACTCTGCACCCCTCCTTCTCAGTGTCCACCCTCCTGCCCCCTTGGCCCCTCCATCTCCCCAGCCCTGAGGGGCCTGGTGCAGGCGGCCAGGCATGGGTATGGGGTGTGGCCACATCAGTCCTTGGTTGGACTGGGTGCCTCTCACAGGCAAAGGTCTCGGGGTGGGCCCAGGGTGGGCACTGGAAGATGTGTAATCAAAGCAGGAGTAAGGGGCATTTCCATGGAGGAGGGGCTGGGGCAGTCAGCTTCAAGGGGCTGCTGGAGGTGACAGGGTGGGAGCCCCTTTGTTGGGCCTGATCTGTGACCTCCATCCCTCACTGGGGACCAGCCGGCCTGGGGAGTGACCTTCACCCGCCCTTGTCCCTGATGGCCCAGTGTGGGGGCTGGGGGAGTGGACAGCCACCCTCTTGGGCAGAGGGTCAGAGACAGGAGGCTCCCAAGGGGGTGTTATGGATGAATCATGTCCGCCCAAAACGTGTCCTCACTCGTCCGTCAGTGTCACACTGTGGTGGCTTTTGTGTTGCTGTGAGGCTGCAAGCTATGCCACCAGTATTTCAAATACCAGCAGGGTCACCCTTGGTGGGCATGTTTCAGGGGAACTTCCAGACTAAGACAGACTAGGAAGAAGGACCTGGCAGTCTACTTCTGAAAAAATTGGCCAGTAAAAGCCTTATGAATAGCAGCGGAACATTGTCTGATATAGTGCTGAAAGATGAGCCCCTCAGGCTGGAAGCTACTCAGAATACACTGGGGAAGAGCTGCCTCCTCAAAGTAGAGTCGACTTTAATGATGTGAATGAAGTAAAGCTCTTGGGACCTTCATTTGCTGATGCGGCATGACTCAAAATAAGAAGAAACAGCTGCAAACATCTATTAATAATAGGAACGTGGGATGTACAAGGTATGAATCTAGGAAAATTGGAAGTTGTCAAAAATGAAATGGAATACATTAAGATCGATATCCCAGGCATTAGTGAGCTGAAGTGGACTGGTATTGGCCATTCTGAATCAGACAATCATATGGTCTACTGTGTCGGGAATGACAAATTGAAGAGTAATGACGTCACATTCATCATCAAAAAGAACATTTCAACATAGATCCTAAAGTACAACATTGTCAGTGATAGGATAATATCCAGACGCCTACAAGGAAGACCAGTTGATGCGACTATTATTCAAATTTATGCACCAACCACTAAGGCCAAAGATGAATTGAAGATCTTTTACCAGCTTCTGCAGTGTGAAATTGGTGAAACACGCCATCAAGGTGCACTGATAATTACTGGTGATTGGAACGTGAAAGTTGGAAACAGAAGGATCAGTAGTTGGAAAATATTGCCTTGGTGATAGAAATGACGTTGGAGATCACATGATAGAATTCTGAAAGACCAATGACTTCTTAATTACAAATACCTTTTCTCAACAACATAAATGGCAACTTATACACATGGACCTCACCAAATGGAATACATAGGAGTCAAATTGACTACATCTGTGGAAAGAGGCAATGGAAAAGCTCGATATAATCAGTCAGTACAAGGACAGGAGCCGACTGAGGAACAGACCATCAAGTGCTCATATGCAAGTTCAGGTTGAAGCTGAAGAAAGTTAGAGCCAGTCCACGAGAGCCAAAATACAACCTTGAGTATATCCCACCTGAATTTAGAGACCATCTCGAGAACAGATTTCACACACTGAACACTAATGACTGAAGACCAGACGGGTTGTGGAAGGACACCAAAGACATCATACATGAAGAAAGCAAGAGGTCATTAAAAAAACAGGAAAAAAAAAAAAGACCAAAATGGATGTCAGAAGAGACTCTGAAACTTGCTCTTGAACGCAGACTAGCTAAAGTGAACGGAAGAAACAATGAAGTAAGAGCTGAACAGAAAATTTCAAAGGGCAGCTCGAGAAGACAAAGCAAACTATTATAATGAAGTGTGCAGAGACCTGGAGTTAGAAAGCCAAAAGAGAAGAACACGCTCAGCATTTCTCAAGCTGAAAGAACTGAAGAAAAAATTCAAGCCTCGAGTTGCAATATTGAAGGATTCTACAGGGAAAATACTAAACAATGCCGGAAGCATCAAAAGAAGATGGAAGGTATACACAGAGTCACTGTACCAAAAAAATTGACCGAAGTTCAACGATTTCAGGAGGAACCATATGATCAAGAAATAATGGTATTGACAGAAGAAGTCCAAGCTGCACTGAAGGCATTGGTGAAAAGCAAGGCTCCAGGAATTGACAGAATACCAATTGAAATGTTTCAACAAAGTAACACAGCACAGGGGAGCCCTGGTGGCACAGTGGTTAAGAGCTCAGGCTACTAACCAAAAGGCCAAGCAGTTCAAATCCACCAGCCACTGCAGTATGAGTTGGAATCAACTTGCTGGCAATGGTTTTTTTTTGTTTGTTTGTTTGTTTTAAATGCAGCACGGGCAGTGCTGACTCGTCTGTGCCAAGAAATTTGGAAGACAGCTACCTGGCCAACCAACTGGAAGACATCCATATTTGTGCCCATTTCTAAGAAAGGTGATCGAACAGAATGCAGAAATTATCGAACAATATTATTAATATCAGAGACAAGTAAAATTTTTCTGAAGATCATTCAAAAGTGGTTGCAGCAGTACATCAACAGGGAATTACCAGAAATTCGAGCTGGATTCAGAAGAGGACGTGGAACCAGGGATATCATTGCTGATATCAGATGGATCTTGGTTGAAAGCAGAGAATACCAGAAAGATGTTTACCTGTGTTTTATTGACTATGCAAAGGCATTCAACTATGTGGATCATAACAAATTATGAATAACATTGTGAAGAATGGGAATTCCAGAACACTTAATTGTGCTCACGAGGAACCTGTACATAGACCAAGAGGCAGTCGTTTGGACAGAACAATGGGATACCATGTGGTTTAAAGGCAGGAAAGGTGTGCACCAGGGTTGTATCCTTTCACCATATTTATTCAATCTGTATGCTGAGCAAACAGTCTGAGAAGCTGCAGTATATGAAGAACGATGCATCAGGATTGGAGGAAAACTCATTAACAACCTTCGATATACAGATGACACAGCCTTGCTTGCTGAAAGGGAAGAGGACTTGAAGCACTTACTGATGAAGATCAAAGACCACAGCCTTCAGTATGGATTACACCTCAACAGAGAGAAAACAAAAATCCTCACAACTGGACCAGCGATCAACATCCTGAAAAACAGAGACGATATTGAAGCTGGCAACGATTTCATTTTATTTGGATCCACAATCAACACCCATGGGAGCAGCAGTCAGGAAATGAAATGACGTGTTGCATTGGGCAGATCCGCTGCGAAAGACCTTTTTTTTTTTTGATCGTACTTTAGATGAAGGTTTACAGAACAGATAGCTTCTCATTAAACAGTCAGTACACATATTGTTTTATGACATTGGTTAACAACCCCACGACATGTCAACACTCTCCCTTCTCGACCTTGTGGATCTTTTTTTGGTGAAAATATACATAGCCTAAGTTACACCATTTCAAAAGTTTCTACATGTACAATTCAGTGACATCGATTACATTCTTCCAGTTGTGCTGCTATTCTCACTATCCTTTTCCAAATTATTCCATCA